ATAATAATAACAATAATGAAAATCATAATTATGATCATAATAATCAAAATAATCATAATAATAATCATAATAGATAGCATTTCTATAGCGCAAATCCCCGCTCAACAGCAAGCCCTATGCGCTTCACAATCTACACTATTACCCCAGCAGACCTGAGAGCAGTCTGAAACAAACTCAACATCCTGGGAAGCATACAGAGCAAGCAGCCATTTATAGACGCTAAAACACTAACATACTGACAAGATCTTTCGCTGTCTATGGCTGGGTACCCATTCCCACCTGGGTGAAGAGAGGAAATTTGTGTAGAGTGCCTTTCCCAAGAACACAAAGTCGGGCTTGCGGCTCGGACCCCGAACCCGCAACCTCACGATTACGAGTCCGGTAACCTAACCACTAGGCCACCGACGCAACAATCGTAATAACCTAACTGATACACAGCTCAAGAGTACACTGCAATGTTGTTGTTTTTATACAGGCATTTCTTTTTTCCCTAGTGGCTATTCCCTGCCCAATGTCCTGCTTTTCTGCAGCACAAAATGGCCAATTTCAGTGTTGATGTGACTCTTTTCAACTCCAGTAAAGGAACAATTTATACACAATTTGCATGTATTTATATTTGAGATCGTGGTGATATTTTGGCATAACATCGTTTGAAGCACTGTTGATTATTTTCTCCAAAAAGGACAAGAAATAAAACAAACATCAACAACCCGACACACAACGAAAAATACAATCGAATTGTGACGACCTTCCATGAACTTATTTAACCCTATCTGTACGCCGTGTTTTACTATCGTATCCATACAACGTGGGGGAACTCTGTGCAACCACTTTCCAAAGAGGAAATTTACTCGTTTATCCGATCCGAATGCATTACATAGCAGTCTGTCAAAATGATTTTTTTGAGAAATACATGTACTTAAAGTTTCAAAGAGATCTCAGTACTAGATCTAGAAGTATTCTAAGATGTGAAGAATACAACCGCGGGGGTACAAAATGACCCCAGGGCGTACGGATAGGTTTGGTTTTTTTAAGTATGAAAAGGACGTACACTCGACACCAGTTATTTGTTGAATGGGGGGGTTACAAACAAATCATGCATGAATACAATATAGCGTAAAAAACAACAAATTTTAAGCTCGCGAACGATGAGAGGCAAAATTGATAAAGAAAAGCAGGTACAGCTCAGAACAAAATTCGCCCTCAGTCACCCTTCATATTATTTAAAGCCATAATTGGTTTACCTCGAGGGCCAATTGCTATTTCAATAAAAGCATCAATGTAAGATAATGAATTTGCACTTCTGAGTACTAGGGCAACCACCAAAGCAAACCAATGCCTGCAACAGTAAAAGTTTGTACACGCAGAACAAAATCATTATGTCCTTTAATCGTTCTTTGTCAAATAAAAATGAGCCTTTTCTTTTTCAGCTAGCAAATAAACGAAGTAAATGGCGAGGAAAGGATGAAAATTTTGCCGCTTTTTCTTTGTTTTCCAGGCTCACAACAATCTCTCCTTTCTTGTCTTTATGACAAGCGGCATTATTTTTATAATTTCGTTTTTTGCCGATGTAGCTAGAGCAAAATATTCTCTTTTGCGTCTTGCATGCGTCACGCTTTGTTTGTTCTTAAAGATTCGTTAAAAATATCGTGATCGATTTTCATCTTCTGATTTAGCGACAATCGATTGTGGTCTCCTTTGCTGACGTTTTCCTTGTCAGAAAGTTTCGATATTCATGCCTGAAACTTTCACATCCTATCACGTAATCTTTCAGTAAGAGTTTTACGGCACTTGCAATACAATAAGGTCATAATATAAGTGCCGAAGATTAGAGGTGTTACAAGGGAGTCACAAACACAAAAAAGAAGGAGGGGAGATAGAGACAATAGATTTTTTTATAGGAAAGAAGGAGCTAACCAGCACATCAGAGCACCTGCCAACCACCCACTCACGTAATCTAACTGTATATGGACCCAGAAGGACACCGGAATTCGTTCGGTCAAAACACCATTCTATTTATTTAAACAGAAGACAGATAGCTAATAGTACTGACTTGGTGGTGTAGTGTCAGTGAGGGAAACATAAATTTAAAAGAAGTTTTTTTTAAAATGACAATAAAGGATAAAAAGAATAAGCAAGGTTTGAAAATTGAATGAGCGATTCCTTTTTTTCTAAGATTAAGAACAATAAACGTTGAAGATATAAGCATAAATTTTGGTTTGGCGCTGCATGTTGAAAGGAACACAGCCCTCGTTTTCAACGAGTCCAGCGGCCATTTTCTAAGTCAACTATCCACGTGACCTGTGCACATCTAAGAGAGAGAGAGTGAGAGAGAGAGAGAGAGATAGAGAGAGAGAGAGGGGGGATAGAGAGAGAGAGAGGGCGATAAAGAGAGAGAAACAGAGTACAGAGGGAGAGAGAAAGAGAGAGAGAAAAAAAGAGAGATAAAGAGA